GAGAAGGATATTTAAAGTTAAGATAATTTTAAATTCCTAAGGCCTCCATTTCTAATTCGTTGGTAAATCAATTAATTGATAGTGTGGGCTTCCCCGAGGATGACATTACTCAAAAATTAATTGAAGGATAATTACTAGAACGAATTTCTAAATTTTAGACGGTTAGAGGAAATCGAATGAGAGTGTACGGGTCACCCCGAGGTGAACGTATAATCGATTTTGACGACCTTAGGACCGAAACATGGGATTCACTTAGAATGCGATTCATTTCATAACCCCCCGAGGGGTCCCTGATTTTTATTGCATGGCCAAACGGTGACCGATTATTAATTTCGTTCGTCATGAAATTGGTTTTGACTAATGGAAATTAATGGGTTCTGGAAAAATCCTTCTTTAAAGAAACGAAGAATTAGTAGAGTTACCCGAGCATCATACTAAATTCTCAAGGTTTAAGGATGTCGGTGAATTTAAGTTAGTATTGTTTTGAGGATGTCAATATTAACAGTTAAATTCAAAGTGTGTAATCAGTAAAATATTTTCGTAATTCTCAGGTTTATTCATCATGTCGTTCAATCCGTTGTCTGTTATCCTAAAAGAAAATCAACTCACCGGTCCTAATTACATTGATTGGAAAAGGAACTTAGACATAGTGCTGACTGCTGAAAGCTATAAGTATGTGCTAACTGAGGCTTGTCCTGATGTGCCGACTGATAATGACCCAGATGAGGAGAAACAGGAGTATGCTCGGTGGAATAAGGCTGATGAGATGACGAAGTGTTACATTCTGGCTTCTATGTCAAATGTCCTTCAACATCAGCATCAGTCAATGGCCACTGCTGCAGATATGCTTCTGAACCTCAAGGAACTGTTTGGGCATCAGTCGAGGGCTGCAAGACAAGAGGCTTTAAGTGCTCTGTTGAACACGCGCATGACAGAGGGTACACCAGTAAGGGAGCATGCTCTCAAGATCATGGCGCAGCTGAATGAGCTAGAGGTTCTTGGAGGTTTTATTGACGGGGAAACCCAGGTCGATATCATGCTCCAATCTCTGCCGCAGAGTTTTGATCAGTTCCGGTTGAACTATAACATGCTGTAATATCCCGTCAGTTTATCAGTATAAGTTATGTTTTTAGTTCCCATATTAATTTTTAGAATTAAATTATTTCAGTCAGTTCAGTCGAGATTACCGAAAATTATTTTCGACGTACCGGTTACGTTCAGAATAATTTTGGTAATTAAGCATTATGTTTAATTAAATAATTAGACATGTTTAAGTGGTTAATTGCCAATTAATCACATGGTTAAGCCACAAAAACCGTTCGGAATTTCTTATTTTAGTCTCCAAAAGTCGTACGGTTAAGTAAGGCATATTAAGGAATTTGTCCAAACTTTTCTTCCTTATTATGAAGTTAAACGTGGCATCATTTTAAACTAATAGGTGATTAGTCATCTAAGAGAGTTTGGGTTGCTACAAGTGTCCTTAATTTCCTTAAGACACATCCTAAGCCTCCATCATTCGGTTCCATATATAAAGAGGAGTTTGGGTGGAAAATTTTCCACTTCATCTACCATATATATTACCCATATTATTCAGCATAAGAGAGAGAGGGAGTTGTGTTCATAAGCTTAGCACCAAGCAACCGCACACTCAGTATTCACGTACGCGTAGCATCGCATCGCACGCCGCACGCCACACTGAGAGAAGGTAGAGCACGCACGCACCCGCGAACACCAAGCAAGCGAAGAGGTAGTTCAGCTCTCGTGTTGCTATGATTTATATCATCAGGTTTCGTTTCTAAAGTATTAAGTTCATGTCATATCTCTCGCATGTTGCGTGTTCGCCATGCGAAGCGCGCAAGTAGATCAAGTCATGTTTTAAGTCGAATTTTCTGAACAATCTTCGTATGTTCAGTAACTTTATGTGACATCATGTTCACATAAGCTTAAGAGTTCGATGAATTATTCATGTTATTCGGTGTTTCGGCCAAAGGTGGTGTGGTTGCGCACGTAGCGCACCACGGGCCGTACACGAGTGTCAAGTATGTTAAGTTCATTTTCCCCGAGCACTTTATGTGATTTAATTCCGTAATCAGTGATCATGTTCAGTAAATTATGTTTTGACGAGAAGAAAGTGAGTTCGGTCGTGAAAGCGGCTTAACGCCGTCGGCGGCACACGGTGCGTCCGCTGCGGCCAAGTTCCATTTATTGGGCAAACTTCATGTTTTCAGTTTAAATTTGTTCATGTGTTCATGTTATATCATTTGAGGTCAGAAAGATCAGGAGTTGTTGCCGGACGGCCGGTAAGGGCCGGCCGTGGCCGCGCTGTCCGCACACAGTGGCAGAAG